CATTCGCCTGTCTTCTCTAAGCTGCAGTGAAGCCGAAGCCGAAGCCGATGTAGGTCAAGTCAAGCCGAAGGCCCCCTCAACGAACAAGCATAAAACATGCGAGTGCCCAAGACCCCCCAAACGATTTTGTGTTACTCGATCTGGAAGAACAAGCATACGGTGTACTCGCTTCCAGTGACTAGGATGTCTCGCCCCGTGGTGAGAAGCCGTTGGAGTCAAGGAATCTCATACCCTGTTTCCGTCGTCTTCGGCTCAACCCACAAACCATCCAGGCAGGCATGGTCGCTTCGAGGGGGGCCTTGAGTGTCCTCCAGCAGAATTCGAGATCCCGGCGTTGTTGATTGGCCTGATGCTCAAGGTCACAGAGAAGCTCACGCAACATGGACAACTACCTACTTTTGACCGTTTCCCGCTTGACCCACCATGTGGTACTCTCGTTTAGCGACTTCGCAAGCCGGCGCTTGTCTGACGGGATGCGACAAAGATGTTCGGCTTGAGAATGCCAACCTGGACGGCTGGGATTGCTTAATTAGCTTTAAGAGCGGCCCAGCGCTCTCTCGAATTCGATCTTTGGCAGGTCTTATGGAACAATCTGCCCATGCCAATTTTACCATTCCCTCTGGCGATCCGAGATGTTGAGGACTGCAACTCAAAGTACTCCTTCCGAAAAAGTCTCACAGATCGTGATGGCGTATGATGAAGAGAAAAGTCAACTTCCGTCGTTGCCGACAAGCGACGACGAGACAGCACGAGTCGACGAGGAAGAGCTAGTCATGGACCAAGGACTTGTCGCATGGCTTCAAGTTCTTGGAAGCTGGATTTTGTTTGCCAATACCTGGTACGATGACCCCGTAGCAGCTTATGCCGGTCCAGACAAAAACCGCAGTACTCAAGTTGACGTTATTCAAGGGGTTTGACAAACTCATTCGGAGTCTTCCAAGCCTACTACTCCAACGTCCTCTTACCAGACGTCAACCCTTCGGCTATTTCTTGGATCGGCTCCATCCAGATCTTTCTTATGATGCTCATCGGTGTCTGCGCGGGTTGGCTTCTTGACGCGGGGTATCTTCGCTTCATCCTCATTTGCGGCACTACCATGACGTCTCTCGGGCTATTTATGCTGAGCTTGTGCACAAAGTATTGGCAGATTCTCCTCGCGCAGGCTCTCTGTGTCGGAATGGGCAGTGGGTTGCTGGGGTTGACTTGTGTGGCCGTGATTCCTCTCTACTTCCGCAAGAGGAGGATGATAGCGACTGGCATTGCTGCTACGGGAAGCAGTCTAGGTGAGCTCCGAAAAGACGCCGAGATGACGATGTACGCAAGCACGGGTACTAATGTATTGTCAAGCGGGAATTGTGTATCCCATCATGGAGAGACGCCTGATTGCATCCATTGGCTTTCCTTGGGCTGTTCGGGTATTCGCATTCATCGTTACCGGAAGCCTCCTGATTTGCATTGCAATCATGCGTCTTCGACCCAATCTCAAGCGGCGCGGTGCTCTCTTTCGCCTGAAGCACTTTCGCGATGTTCCCTATGTCTCATTTTGCATCGGTCAGTCTCGTTTCCAAAAGGTCTTCGACTCACTACGGTAATTAACACACAATTAGCCTTCGCCCTGATGATTGGCTCGGTTTACATCCCCTTCTTCTACGTAGATGCCTATGCCATTCGTCTGGGCGTCGATCAAGACACTTCCTTTTACATCCTCAGCGCCATGAACGCTGCAAGTCTCCTCGGTCGTCTAGCCCCCAACTGGCTTGCTGACAAGTACGGCGGTATGACCGTTATGCTCCCTTGCTGTCTTTGCTCGGCCACCGTTCTCTTTCTCTTCCGCTTTGCGACCGACCTGCCGGGTTTGGTCGTAATATCAATCGTGTACGGCTTCGTCTCGGGCGGCATGGTATCTTTACCTCCGGCTACTATTGCAAATTTGACGGATGATTTGTCAGAGTATGGGACGAGAATGGGCATGGGATACACCATCGCCAGCTTTGGCGCGTTGATCGGGAACCCTATTGGAGGTGCCGCGCAGCGTCCGCAAGGGAACACAGCGACAGATGTGCAGAGGGAGTTTCAGGGTATTTGGATTTTTGCGGGGGGGTTCATGCTCGCAGCTTTCAGTTCGATGGTGATATCAAAGTACGTCAGAGTTGGATCGGTCTTGCGCGGTAAATGCTAGCCTTCAGAATCTTGCTGTGGTCTCCTCTCCGTAGGCTTTGGCCCAGTACCATAGGATCATCCCAATCTAGTTAAGACAAAGAGTAGAACGTAACCTCTGCAATCATCGTCCTGGCTGGGATCGTAACGGAGATCGGAAAGCCGCCGTAATCTGGGTCCTCGTTAGGCATCATCGCGAACTTGCCGCTCCTCGTTTCATCTCCGTTCAAAACTCTGCTGCTTTTCAAGCGGCCGGCCTCTTCGTCCTCTACAATCTTCTCCTCAAACTTGAGTATGCCGGTGAAGCTCCGGTCCTGGCCCAATGCCTTTGCCTTGACCTGGAAACCCCAGCCGATGAGCAAGAATTTGCCTCCACCTCGATGTATCACCATTCCAGCCCCTGTTCCGGGCTTGCCGAACACAAAGCACCGTTCTATGGTGATCTCAAACTCTCCCCAGGTACGACAGATGACAGGGCTTGGGTCCTTCCCGGTGCCATCCGCCGGCAATTCGTCGAAGCAGAAGCCCACTGACGTGTTCGGGTGTCGTTGTGCTTCAAGGACGATGGGCGAAACAGACTTCAGCAGACCATAGTGCTTGGTGAAGGGACTGTCCTCTGGCTCGATAGTATCCACACCAAAGGGGGCAACCCCCATAGCACCGTAGGTTCCGTACGCAATCCAGATGCGGCGTGCTCCGTAGTCGTCTCGTCGTTGCTCCGGGATGAAGAGAGGTTGATTACGGTGCCTGTACTTGGCGCAAGAGCTGGCGTAGTCGTTGAGATAGACATCGGGCCCGACAAAGTCCAGCTTCGGCGCGAAGCGCATCCATACGTCCAAGACGTTGCTCACGGGTCCTCCAGAGGGATAGTCTCCCGGCATGCCGCCGCCGCCTACCACCACGGGAAATTCGTTGTCAGAGTCTTCGCCGACGTAGTTCATCCATACGTTGGTATAGAGAGGGATAGGATACGTCGCTTTTCCGGCCGCGGCAACTTGATTCAGATAGAGAGCGTAGTTGTATGCCATGAATAACTCATCGGTCCGGGGACTGCTTCCAAACACAGATTCCCAATCTCCGCTTCCGTCAAGGTGTGAAGTCTGACGATCAAATTGCGTGAGGTTCTGTTCTCGCAAATCTTGGTGTAGCTGATCCCACTCTGCAGATAGGAAGTGGACAAGGTCCTTTGGGACTGGTTCACGGAAGGCTTCATTTGCGAGCTCTGAACCGTCCCGAGAATCTCCCAAAACACCGCACTCGTTCTCGACTTGTACCATCAGAACAGTAGAGTGTGACTCGTCCACCTGTCTCAAGTGCTCCATTAGTCGGCCAAAGGCCTTGGCATCTGCTTTGCGGCTCTCGGCGCTGAAGATTGACAGAACGTCGCCGGTCTCGAGACGGCCTCCGGCCTTGCGAAGCTTGACGCGCGGAAACCTCTTGTCATCTGTTTTCACCCAAGCCGGTGTATAGGAAGACAGTCCTGTATTTCTGAGTCTTAATTATCTTTCCCATCTGTCACCCGAGGGCAGGCGAGAAACAGGACTGCATACCATTCTTGAATGACCCAAACCATAGCAAAACCAGGTGCATGGAATGTTTCCGTGCGTCGCTAATGATTTCGTCGAGCACCGAAAAGTCGAATTTGTCTTCTTCAGGCTCAATCATCTCCCAGGACACACTGCCGAGTAAGGTGTTGATGTTGGTATTGGCCATTTTCTCCCATACAGTTTTCATGTATTCGGGGGACGATAGTGAAGAATTCTGAAGTTCCCCAGCTCTCATGAGAAAAGGCTTGCCCTTCACCACAAGTTGTTTCGATCCATCTGTTTGGACGAGATGTGGAATATTCACACTAACGTTAGCCATCTTCGCGGCGGCTTGGGGAGTTGCATCGAGAAACGTCATCGTATCGGGGTCTCGGTTCGGTCTTCTTCGATGAGTACTTCGACTGTGATTAGAGACAAGAAATGTAGAAGAGAAATCAGACGAGAAAAGAGGAAATATAGTGAAAAAAACAAAAAGTGTTACTGGTTGTTATTTCAGGATCAAGAGTGCTAGCAGAGCAACTCAAGAGAAGAAGGATGGATCTGCGGTGTTCAACACACCTCGGAATCTGTGAAAGATGATTGGCTTATATCCCGATCATTCGTTCTTAGCTCCCAAGGATCTGCGAAACACGCGAAGAATGAGGGGGTAACGCCGGCACGCCGGACAGCGAAGCGTCGATTGACGAGTAAAGAGTCCCGCCAGCATGCCTGTCTTGCTTCCCCTCAGTGGCGTCGACTCATGCACAGCAGCGTCCTCCACATGTTGGTTTGTGGGGTTTTCGGGTCAACACCCAGTGAAAGCTGTTCATTCCCGAGAAACTAAATAGAGGGCGTGTTCCTGTTTCCATCAATGACTTTGACTATGGAGAGTGTGAATGGGATTCATACGCTCGTACGTTCATCTGAATCCACAATCGGATGAAGCCCCCCAAAGCATGTCGACAGTGTCGAGAGAGCAAACGAAAATGCCTCCGCCGTAGTCTCGCGGTAGGTGAGCCATGCGATACTTGTCGAGCTAGAAGTTTACCGTGTGCAAGCTCTCTCTCACGCGTTCCTCCATCGCCGCTGCCGTTACTTCCAAGGCCTGAACCGGCACCTTCGTTGTCAAATACCTCCACGCCTACTTCGACAAAGACCGAAGGCATAAGCTTGCCGCTTCACACGGCTGTACTTCTCGTCGACTATTATCTAGACAAGCTACACAATCGGCCGCACAGTTTGTTCCACCCCGCAAAACTTCGGCAGGAGGTTCAAGATGGGTCTATTAGCAGGATCCTCCTGTTGGCCATTTGCAGCATGGGTTCGAGGTTCGCTCTCGACGAGGAGACACGGGCCCTGGAGGCCGGATTGATGGAGGAATCCAAGCGGATGTTGCTGGCCAATTTGGAAAACGTCTGCGTCGAAAACATTCAGGCGTGTATCCTCATCGCGAATCTGTGCGCAGCTCACCTGAACCCTTCTTCAGAAGCTTTGTTCTTCCGTAAGTGATCGTTATTGGAATTGTACGAATGGATTGGAAGCATCTCGTTTTCTTCTGGGTCTATTTGCTCACCATGGACAGGGACCGGTATCAGTCTCTCTCACATCATGCAGCTTGGCACCTCGACTGTAGGGACACGGCTGGTTGATCTCGAGATTCACAGGAGAATATGGTGGTCACTCTTCATGGCAGATCGATGGTCGTCTTCAAGCCTCCGCTTGTTGCCACAGATTCGAGATACAGAGCTCGCCGTTGATCTGCCCATGGATGAAGCCATATTTCAGTCTCTAGACCCTACATCAACACAACTAGAGAAGCCATGGCAGCCAGGAATATGGGCTTTCAAGATCTCTCTGGTACAGCTATTTGGCCCAATACAGCAACTCAATCGTCATAGTGTCAACAGAAGCATGACTGCAGAGGATATCGAGAGCAGCATTCACTCTTTGTCTCAGCAGCTAGAAACTTGGGAAAAGTCCCTGCCCAACAACATCAAATGGAAAGAGGAAATGCTAGACTGGCATATCAACAGAGGAACTGGAGGGCCATATGTCGCCCTTCATCTTGGGTATCATCACTATTCCGTCCTGCTCTACTTCAGGTTCCTCAGCTCTCAAGAGCCAAGATCCTCCGCGGCTAGCATGTATCATAGTAGATGCAAGTCCCACGCCTCGGCTTACAGCAATCTTGTCAAGCTCGCCCGTGGTAAGCAGGGATGTGAAGTCGTCTATCCTACTGTCGGGCACATGGCGGTAGTATCGTCATCGGTGCTCCTCCATACGCTCTTGTTCGGCGAGGAAGCAGATCTAAAGAGCGCGCGAGATGCCTTGAATGCGAACTTTGCAGCCATTGTCGAATTGCGACAGTACTGGCCAAACACGGCGCCAATGGTTTGTTTCCGTCCACGTAGCTGACCTCTGTGGGCAAGAAGGCTGATTTAACGACAGATCGAACGCCTTGCTACTTTTCAAAACTTCTGCCTGCTGTCTGGTGACTCCAGAACGCATGATTTTGATGACTGGATGGTGCGCTTTCTGACAGAATACTCACTGCCTCTGGAGGAAAAGGACATTCAACATGTGAGATCAGGCATGGACTACGATATTGACAGCTTTTCGGCTCGAACTCAAGTACTTACACAACAAGGGAGGTATACTTCATTTCAGACTGATACCTCCGATGCCTATAGCTTACAACTTCATGAGTTCGACTACCTGATTTAGTTAACATTAGTAGCTTTGTAGTCTTGATAATGAGACGTTCCCCGTCCTCAGGGAAATCCGTATGCACGAATGGGAAAGAGAGTCTAGATGATACAAAATAGCAGGAAAGAGAAACATTCTACGCCGAAACAAAGCTACGTTGAATGAGTCTCGTACGTACTTGGCTCACAGTGTGAAAAATATGGCTGATATTCTGATCTAGTGGCGCCTTCGGGGGTCACGCAGGAAGCCACATTATGCTCTGCACGGTTTGGTAAGGCCTCTCTGTATGTAGCGGATAAAATTTCATAAGTCTCGGGGCAAAAGCCAATCATTTTTCTCATTCTCCGATCGATCGGGTCTATCGACTTCAGTGCCGGCTTCTCTCGAAAGAAGCGCTAATATCGTACCGGACCTAGTCCCTGATTAGCCCGGATGCAGTTACCCTCATTACAGAAGTTGGCGCCAAGCTCACACGCGCACTCATCCCGCATCCCCAGAAGGGTGACAGTCCCATTCTCCTGGACGCCGGGAAAACGGCCGAATGATTGGTTCAAAGGCCGCATGTTCGGTCGCAACAAGTGACAGACAGACGTGCCTGGTTGGTTTACCCCAGTCTCTTGTTCCCGAATCACCCCACGAACCTGGGGTCTCCTCCCAGGAATACGGTAGATGGTGATCATATCTAACTCCTTTTGGGCATGTCAGTATGTAGTCGCAGGCTCTTTTTGTTGTCAATATCTTTCTCATGTTGCCTCGCCTTTATTTAAAAGGCATAGGTAGAACCTATGAGTTTCCAGTTCCCTGAATCCCATCATCGTTCAACATAGCGACCCAGGACCACAGTGATCCGACGCTAAGAACTCGAGAAATCTGTCTTCAATTTTCTATTGCCGTACCTCCAGGAGCACGATGACTTCGACCAAGGAACATCCGGATTATGTTGAGGAGCCGCCACACCTCGAAGTCCCACGGGTAACATGGTATAAGCACGCTGGGTTACGGAGCCTTTACATCAGAATGCCAATCTTGATGCTTTGTGCTACCATCAACGGATATGATGGGAGTCTCCTGAATGGCCTTCAGACAATTGAGAACTGGCGGGCTTGTACGTCCTACAATATCCGTCACTGCTTCGTTGAGAAGTTTACTGACTCTTGAATTTCAAGACTTCAACCATCCTTCCGGCTCTACTCTTGGCCTGTTCACTGCTATTGTCAACATCGGTGGCTTCAGTGCACTGTTCTTCTGTCAGTTGGGAATACAAGTTCAGTGAGACCTTCTCACATGCTAACGTATCCACTGGCGACAGCCCCTTACATTGCGGACTTCTATGGCCGTCGTATCGCGACTGCTATCGGCATCATCATTCTGGTCGTCGGCGTCATCATCCAATGTAGGCACTTAGGCCCCTATTACTTCTGCATGAATAGGATGGAATCTAATGTCGCTCAGCCGTTCCAAGCGTCAACGAGGGCATGTTTATCGGTGGTCGTTTCCTCGTAGGGTTCGGGTAAGCAGGCATTCATGCCCATAATTGCTGATCTGATCACTGATCACTGGCCGTGTTAGATCCAACATCTCCATCGGAGCCGGTCCGCTGCTGATCATGGAACTGGCTTATCCTCAGCATCGAGGTAGGCTCACTGTGATGTACAACAGCCTCTGGTATGTCGGAAGTATCGTCGCCGCCTGGACCGTCTACGGAACGATCAAGTACACGGGTGAAGTCTCGTGGCGGGTTCCTGTCGCTTTGCAATGCCTTATGCCGGTGCTCCAACTGATAGGCATATTCACGTTGCCTGAGAGTCCGCGTTGGCTATGCTCAAAGGACCGATCTAACGAGGCCTTTGAGATCTTGGTCAAGGTAAGAAGAGCGCAGATTCACTACAATTAGTGCATGCTGGAGACTGACGCTGAATGTCGCAGTATCACGCCAGTGGAAACCGCGATGACCCCTTCGTCCGGGCCGAGTTCGCCGAGATCCAAGAGACCATCAAGCTTGAGAAGCTGGCGGCGGAGACGGGTTGGATGGTGTTTTTCCAGACACCGGGAAACCGCAAGAGGTTGTTGCTCATTGTGCTCACATCGTTCTTCTCTCAATGTTCAGGTATGAGCACACTCCTTGGAGAACCTGGACGTGGCTGACACAGGGCTATGATAGGAAACGGCCTGGTCTCGTACTATCTTCATGACATTCTAAGTTCCGTTGGCATCGACGAGCCCAACTCTCAATCTCTGTTTAATGGCGGTCTCCAAATCTGGTCGTTCCTTGTTGCAATCTGTTTTTCGGTCTATTTCATCGAAAAACTCGGCCGAAGGATTCTCTTCCTTATTGCGGCCGTCGGGATGCTCGTTGTTTTCAGTGTCTGGACTGGGTATGGGCTCCGCAATGTCCCGGCATTTACTTAACCTATGCTGACCTTCTCAGATGCTCTGCAGTGTATGCCCAAACAGGAAACAAAGACGCCGGGTCCGCGGTTCTGGCAATGATCTTCCTCTTCTATGGAGTTGCTGGTTTCGCATGGCCTGGCTTGACGGTTGCTTACTGCTCCGAGATTCTCCCCTTCAGCATACGAGCCAAGGGACTGGCAATCTGCCTGGGAGTAACAGCGCTCTCTGGTGTTTTGAACCAATACGTCAACCCCATCGGACTCTCGTCGCTGGCTTGGAAGTTCTATTTTGTCTACATCGTCATCTTGGTCATTGAGGTGGTTTGCATCTGGTTCCTTTTCGTGGAGACTAAGGGACCTACTCTTGAGGAAATTGCCGTCCTGTTCGACGGCAAAGATGCCAAAGTTTCCAAGGAGGCGGGAATGGACGGCGATGCTACGTTTGAGCAAGTGGAGGTCCGTAAGGCTGCGGAAAAGGTCTAGGCGTTGTCCACATAAGGCACAAGTCAGCAACGATGCTGTAGGCTTTGCAGGGTTGAAGCGACTGTACGGATCGATTCCAGAGACGAATGTGGGTTGTCGGTTGAACACTGAACAGCGGAGGCATGCCGTGTCGCCTGTCGCTTCAGACCGGCTGGTCAAGCATAGAGAATATGAATCAAATGGACTGGGAGCTTCCCTGATATTCACATGGGTGTGAAGCCGTGCTGTTGTCAGTTGATGTCTTGATGAGGGGACTGGTAGAGTGCATCCATGCTCTGAGGCTTTTCTTCCTCGTCAACCAGCATTGTCGGCCCCAACACCGTCACCACCCTCGTCACAAATTAAAGTAGCAATATGCTTGACAGAATCTAAAATGACGAGAATGAAACTATCTTAGACTGAGGGAATTCGCTAGTCGTGCCCGACCCAGCTGCCGGTCCAGCACTCTCAAAGTTGCACCGGGAGCTAGGAAGAGACATCCTGGAAGCAAACCTATGCGTGCTACGGTATGCTAGAAATCATGCTGGTAAGTAAGCATGCGTGCCCTGCTAAGAGCTACTGTATGCTAGGAGGCTAGGGCGGCGCGGAAACCCCTAGGATTCGAAACATGCGACACACCCAAAGCCCAACACACCATCAAGTCCGGAGCGTTGCTAAAGATGGATATGGGGACTTCTTGGCCACGTTTTGACGAAGCTTGAGGCTGATCTGAGCGGCCGAGAGTGGTGTGCCGGGCAGGCAGGCCTCCTGGCTTGGCGTTGCCTCCTTATTGTCTTCGTACGTGGACAAGTCAACCATCATCTATGTTACTCCGTCGCAGGCAACACGGACGGGTTTAATACGAGGAGAGTCCTCCATGGCTTGCGGATGAACAGCGCCATCAAGACAAGGTCTCGGGATTTATCTTTTCTTCACTTGGCTGGTTTCCTTGGTTCCAAGCCTTTTCGGCCGCCTACTTCCTACTTGCCTATTCTCTCTTGGCCAACCTACTCTATACACCTTACTGTTCGAACTTGTTACTATTCCCACCAGAGACACACGAACTATACGATATATCCCTTGGCTTGGCCAGCAAACGCCCTTACCACAGCTGATTATTGACGCCTGAACACATTCGACGGGTGCTCACAGACCGGAACCCCACCGCCAACTCCTGGGGGACACTCGACAACCGAGGTACTTTGTTGGTCACCGGACCACAGCACCACCTTTGTGTACCCATCAAGTCAAAAGTCGAGGGGCCGGCGTCTTCTCTTTTCCCCTCTCTTTGGTCCCAGAGCGCACTATTCCCACCGCGTCCACGCCGGTTTGGCGCACCCGCCTGTGGGCAGTCTGCAAAGGCACAAGCACAAGCACCGGACAACCCAACCACCGCCCCCCCTCCCCCTTGCGATCGCCGCGTGGCGGTCGCCCATTCCAGCCCGTTCGTTGCAGCTCGCTCTAAAAAGGTGAGACTGAGAGTTGCAGTCTTGCGCGTAGAGACCGACTGACTCTGACTCCTGTCGTCCACTCTCTGCCTTTCTCTGCCTGGCACGCCTTGGTAAACTTTGCGCCTGGCCTGCCGCATCCCAACTCGAACGGAACCCCAGATTCAAGGATTCCAGGAGTCTAGAAAGTAACCCTGCATCAGACCAGATCGAATCAGGTCCGTTGGTCACAAGGGTCACGAGGAGGGACACAACAAACGAAGAAGAAAAGAAACGAACCCACGAGCGGGCAGACTACCACATCACAGATCGATCATCAATCACTCATCACCACCTCGACCTCCTCCACTCGCACCCGTCTCTTCCTCCCTCTCTTCCTTCTCTTATTTTACCAATTTTCCCCCCTCCCTCATACCCCGAATCAAAACGATGTCCTACCGCTTCACGGCCACTGAGGCTACTATCGCAGACGTTGGCTAAGACTTGCCTAAAACAACATCTCACTCGAACAATCTCAACTCGCTCACTTACGCCCCCGCTCTCATTCGTTCGAACACACCGCCCGCTGACGCTCACACTCACTTTACACTCTTGTCAACTGAGGTCGCCCAGTCCCTCGCCCCCAACATTCGCCCAGGATTCCCGGCGCGGCTTCCAGACCCGTTTCACATCGGCCTCTCTGTAGCACCCCGGGTTCCAAGCAGTTTCAACCCTCCGTGACGAGGGGATCCCCGGTCGCCCAGCCGACCCGCCGCCAGATCTCTTTCTCACTCTCCTCACTGCTGTACGGCGGGCACATATCCCGTCGACGGTGCACCAAAAGACCACCGACAACACCGTTCGACCATCTCCCGCGCTGCCCGCGGCGTCCGCAAAAAGGTTCAGGGTTCCCAAGATGATCAGCAACCATCTCAGTCATCCGCGGCTTCATCGGCCCCATCCTTAACCGCTTCGTCCACCACCGCCGAGGACACTCCCGTACCCGCTCACGCTCCCGCACCGACCACTGAACCCGATCTTGAAGCTCAACTTCCGGCTCACACGGCCTCTCAATCTCACTACACGGCTCTGCCGCTCACATCACCACTGCCACCTTTCACACCGACTATCAACTCACCGGAGCCGGCGTCACCGTCGCCCCCTCACTCCGCTCATGAGCATCACGCTCATACGCTTCCAACCCTGGCACTGGGCCCATCAGCCCAACCCCCCACTCAAGATGACGCAACCCTCCAGGCTCTCACCGGCGCTCACCCCGCCGAGTCCTCGAATGCCCAGACCTTGACGAACAACATCACAACTCAAACACTCACCGTCCCGGGGCCGCAGTCTCAACCCGTATCGCCACTGTCACCTCCGCCCACCATAGTCCACTCACCCAGCGCACCTTTGTCTTCTCCCATATTTACTCCCTCAGCTATATCTTTCGCGCCTCAGGTCCACCCCAACTCACCAGCGCCCCAACCTCTCAACCTCTCAGCCGCAGCCTCACCAGCTCAGTACCTGCCCTCACCCCTAGAGTCACCTCTACCCCTCGAACTCGAGCAACAACTGTCCTGTAAAGATGGCGGCTCAATACGACCTACCAGCGCCCGAAGCGCCCGGCCTCGCACATCCCGCTCACGCCGAGACTCAGTCATTGAAAAGGTCGCCTCGCTCGATCCACGACGACGCTCTCGTATTCTAGGCCCCAAGACAGGTAACAGTCTCATGGATCTCCCGCCTGAGCTGCATCTTATGATCATCGACTACCTCGAGTTCGGCGAGCTCGAGAATCTGCGCCGCACGTGCCGCTTCTACCGTAACTTTCTCACAAAGGAGACCATTCGCGACCTTTTTGGCGAGCAGTTCCGCCTCGCTCTACTGGCACATTGCTACATCTGCCTAAAGTACGATCCCACACGCGGCAGCTTGCTCTGGGCAGACTATAACCATCCGCGGTATCCCCTTGCTAGTAAATGTGTCGACTGCGCGTATCAGAAGAATGAGCTGGCGGTAGGCAAGAAGGTGGCACTAGGCAATTACGCGAGTGTATGGATCTGTCGATGGTGCGGGTATCCCGTCGCCACTGCTTCGGCGCCCAACCAGCCCGAGTTCCACAAGGGCTGCTACAATCATTACAACAACGTCCTGCTGGTGTATTTCGTCTTGGGCTGGATTCAGCTGAGTCTCGGTATCGTCGCCGGTGCGCTTTGCTGGAGGTACTTTAGAGACGAGATCCTCGTCTTGGTGCCGTCTATTGTAAGTTCATGGAAATCGCTCTCGTGAGTCTCGAAAATAGTTGTCTAACCTCGACAGGTCGCGTTCGTCTTGCTGTGGTGGTGTCTGGCTCTCCTCGTGGTCAGAGGCGAACACAAGCGCACGTACCACTTTTCGTTGATCCTTGAGACAGCGATACTCGGTCTTTGGTGTTTGCCAATCTACGTCCTCGTCAAAGATGTGGAAGACGGCATAGCTGGATTATTTGACAGACGGGTTACAGTGACCCTGGTTTTTATCGTGTTGAACATGTAAGTTCGGTTACTATTTCACTACTTTATAAGGAGCTAACAGGTAAAAGGTTCTTCCGCCTTCTTAATGTTTTGGGCAACATCGTTCTCACACTCGAATGGCGACACTTTGCGCGCAAGAAGCCCCGACTCACGCCCGCAGCCCGATTCTTCAACATGATTCTCGCCGGGCTCGTATACTGGACATATCCTCAAGCCGTGGAACAGGAGTACCCGCCGCAATATCACTTCATCAACACCGGTCGACGACGAGTCAAGAGGATTCTCGCTGAGAGAAACGCACAGCGGCAGCGACAACAGCAGCAGCAAATTATGACAATGATGTATTAAACGCTATCAAGAACGACACAACACATGTGGCGCAAAGACGTCAAGCAACGACCCGCAAATCCGGAGTTTGGTAATGAAAGAGGATCCGTCAGAGCGATGACTGTTTTATTGACTGCAAGCGTAATGGATGCGACTGGCGTGGAATTGGGATCACATGGTCTTTTATTTTGGGCAGATTTTCCACGGCGAATACCATGGCGTGCAGAGTGTATGATTGCAGGCGATACCTGCCCAAAAGCCTGTTGGGTCTCACAGTACGACATGGCGCTGGTAATGACGATGGCAATCAGTTTTGATGAAGTTTTGATGCTTACCAAGTTGAACCTGGAAGATGTTTGAAGGGTTCATGAAGAAACAGAGAAGAGGGTTGATTAGAGACTTGAGTAGTAGTCAAATGGAAGAACCCATCTCTACGATATGCTTGCCAATTCATGGCAAATAACCTTCAGTAATGTGGGCCATCAGGTTTCAATCATTAAACCTGAATGAAAATGAGCAATAAGCGGCGTTCCCAAACATGCCTGCATGCTTACCTTACCTGAATGAGTGCCGCCTGCATATGCAGACCGGCACCAGCTCACCTCAGCCTCGAAAAGAAAGCAATTGTGTAAAGCCCAATCTGCAGATGCCTGAGCGTCAAATTCTCACAGCTTGCCCTAAACATCTCCTAATGTGAGATACCTGGCGTTCGATCTATCATGTCGCCCAGTGCAAAGATGTCACCACGAGCCGTTGTCATTGATAGCGGGTAAGTGCTGCCTGGTCAATGAAGGCGTGGTTCTGGATGAGTGATTGAGGCTCTGATCGTTTACCAGGTCCGGGTTCACCAAGGCTGGGTTCGGCGGCGACCGGCAGCCTCTCAGAGTATTCCGTGACTAAAGACAAAGTCCCCAACTGTAACTGTTCTCAGCCGTCTGACTACAACCTAGCAACTGCAATCCAATATCCTACTAGGACGAAAGAGAACAGGAACACTGATGTCTGGATGGTTAGTCGGCATGATATCTCCGCAACCTGTGCAAGTTCCTCGAGGCGCAAGACTTATTGACCATATCACAGACCACTTACAACGTCGGCCATGCCGTTGACCCGAATTATGGAGGCCTCAACCAACCTCTATACCCGATCAGAGCAGGTGGCGTGATTACGAACTGGCAAGACGCAGATAGGATATGGAACTATGCTTTAGCAGAGTTGGGAGCCTCCATACCGCTTTCCCATCATCCAATCATCATGACAGAACCACTCCATCTCTCTCCAAGCCAGCGGTAAGTCCCAGACGTTTTTTCGAGACTGCAAAGAGCCTAATTGTGCACAAACTAGGATGACCATGGTATCCCACGTCTTCGAATATTTCTCCGCGCCGGCGTACTACACGGCCTCGCCGGCTCTGCTGTCAACTTACGCGGCCAACCTACCCATCGCTCTCGTCATCGACTCGGGCTACGCGGGGACTTCTACTCTACCAGTATACGACCACGCGCCTATCCGGAACCACGCCCGTAGGCACGACGTTGCGGGACAAGCGATAGACGACTGGTTGCAGCAAGCTCTCATGAATGAAGTCGGTCTAGAGCTTCCGTCAAACGGGGCTTGGGATGACGTTCTGTGGTTGGCCAAGACTGAACGGTGCCGCGTCGCAAAGGACTTTGAGGAGGCTGTCATGCGGTGGAAGAATATGGTGGATGACGGAGGGGAAGAAGAGATCTGGGATCTGCCTGACGGGATGAAAGTCAAGCTTGACACCCCGCTGGGTTTGCGTGCGGGCGAGGTGTCGTTCAACCCTTCCATGCTGGGGCTTGATGTTGGTGGGCTGCAGCATGATGCCTTTAATGTTATTATGAAGTGTGCACAGGGTCTTCGTGAAAGTCTCTGTCAAAATATCCTGCTTGTGAGTACTTGTCTCTGTTTTGCTCTCGCTGAGTCGCCGTGTTGCTGACGACGGTATAGGCTGGAGGAAACACCATGTTTCCTGGGTTCGGCGCCAGGTTGAAGTGCGAACTGGAGCGTTTATTCGCAGAGGGTACTACTATCAATGTCATCTCTCCTCGGAATAGGGCGTATTCCGCTTGGGTTGGGGGATCCATGATGAGCGAACTTTCGACGTTTGAAAGGATGTGTGTTGTGAGGGCCGAGTACGAAGAGGTAGGGCCCGAGATAGCAAACAAGAAGTTTCTTTGATAGTGCGGTCGTCAGTGAGTAGGACCACGCTCTCCATCATGGATGTATTGACGATTTGAGTAGAAAGTATGATAAGATGAAAGAAGTTATACTCTCTTTAGACAGTGCCTTATTGTAGACTTGTATGAACAGCTGGTACCGGCTGCTGGATGAGGACTCACTCCTCCAGAGTCGAGAGACGAGAATATGGTGGTGTGGATACCGGATGAGACCCGAGCTCCAGTGTCAGATCTTCCCGGTGTTTTATGGGGCCGGTCATCCGATCGAGTCCAGGCGGGGCCTGAGCTTGAGCCTTGAAGGGAGCACTGAGCTCATGAGGTCAAACATTGCACGTGAGACTCCAGGCCGGATGAAGCATCAGCCACATCACGTGGGTAGAAGCGCCACAGGCTGTCACTAGCCTCGTGCGGGACGCTTTCTCGGTCTGCGTTTTGCGTCGACATCAAAGGCCAACATCGGCAACGATCATATCAAGATGACAACACTCACCTCCACGGCTCGAGACAGGCTGCATTTGGGCTCAGGCTGATCTGAAGGCCACCTCTCATTCTTCTCTGAGCTTTGCTTGACCATCCCGCTGTATTGCAGCGAGCTTGGCCAAAGCCTGCTGCTGGCATCCGTCGCAGAGCCTCACTTGGAGGTAAGCTCAAGGTATGTGCTTCTTTGCCGCCACGGCGTGTCCTGGATCCCAGGTGATTTGCTCGAGCTGAGCAGGTCCTTCTCCTTACTCTTGTCTCATTTATGGCTTTCTGACGGTTCTACCATGGCGAGTGCCATGTACTTACGTCTTGGGCGGCAGGCTCTCTTGCCTCGCTCATCAGACTCACAGCCCGCCCGGGCCAAGCAAGCACCTCAAGGTTCCTGGCTCCTTCGATGCGGCTCGGGTAATCTTCGGCAGCCGTATGTAAGCTCTCCAGTCGCGCAACATTCCGGCAATAACATTTTGTCAACAATTTCTGGGCACTCGACGCTAGCGCCATAACACAGCCATCCACAACAGAGCTCCAACCGACGAATAGGAACGGACCATAGCTCACCAGCAAAACTCTGAGCAAGGAGGCAGCGTGGGCCGTGGCAGCACAGAGGTGCAGCGCAGAGCAGAGCAGAGCAGAGCAGCAGAGGTGCGCAGGTGGTCATACCTTTCCATTGGAAGCAGCAGAAGCAGACACGCAGACACAGGCCGCGCCGTGGACTTGCTCAGAAACGAAAAGCACCGCAAAGACAAGCAGCACCAGCACGCAGCAGCACCCGGCACACCCATCGACGGCCCCCCCCCCCCCCTCCTCGCACCTCCCACACCACACCGACCGCGATTTTCTTGCTCGCACCGAAGCTCCCTCGCTCCCATTCGCCCCCCTGTCCTCTTCTCCTGCCGTCACCGACGAACAACAACAATCACTGTCAGCCTTCGAACTAAATTTCTGCCATCTCCATCCACCTCCACCAAAGCTTCCCTCGACAACCCCTCCAACTACAACCCAACACCGAAACAGTCTTGTTCGATAACAGTCCTTTTTTCCAAACCTTGTACTCGACACGCGCATCCCCACTTTGATCGAATCATCGGATCCCAAACTCGACTTTCGAATTTATCAAACCTTTTTTTCGCGCCCTCGCATCAACATCAACAATGGCCGGCGGCAAGGGAAAGTCTGGCGGAAAGACGTCCGGAGGCAAGGCTACGGCCGAAGTCCCCAAGAAGCAGCAGAGCCACTCCGCTCGCGCTGGTCTCCAGGTAAGTTGCGCTATCCTGATGATGCGCCGGTTTTGCACGTCGATTTTTGGGCCCCGATATCGAGCATCGACCGACGACCACCCGATTCCGACGCGTTCGACCGCAATACAAGTCAGAACCGCCCTCCAACCATCATCTCGTGTCGCGCAGCATCTTCCACCTGCAACGGTGAATCTGCGCGATCACTTTTCCGCCGTTGAGGCTGCACTGGATGATGGACGGGATGCGGTCGCGTGCACGATCTCGTTGGGCTTGAAAACGATGGCGCAACTCCCGGAACGCTCGCAGCAATGAAAATTTCTCAAGCTAGCGGTAGCAGCTTGCTAACACGGACTTTCCAGTTCCCCTGCGGTCGCGTCAAGCGTTTCCTCAAGGCCAACACCCAGAACAAGATGCGCGTCGGTGCCAAGGCTGCCGTCTATGTCACCGCCGTTCTCGAGTACCTTACTGCTGAAGTACTCGAGCTTGCAGGCGTAAGTTCCCATCCCTCCTGGCGCACTCCGTTGACTCATCGGGGTCTCTGCCTAAATCATTTACTGACGCGCGCCTTGTAGAACGCTTCCAAGGACCTCAAGGTCAAGCGTATCACTCCCCGCCATCTCCAGCTTGCCATCCGTGGTGACGAGGAACTTGACACCCTGATTCGTGCCACCATCGCCTTTGGTGGTGTTCTGCCACACATCAACCGCGCGCTCCTCCTCAAGGTTGAGCAGAAGAAGAAGGCCAAGGCGCTCGAGGCATAAATCCCGCGTCTTGCACAACAACGATAATAACGTTGATATTCCCGGTTGGCTTTTTTCTCAGGACGGTTATTTGGGAGTGGTTCGGTCTCAAGGGATGCTTTTTTCTGCTTTCCTTACAATACTGGTCAGAAACGACGATGATGCAGGTGTGCCAGAGGTTGAATAATCTTTTCACAACATCTGGAAACAAAGAAAGGAAGAGGCATGCAACGGTTCAGAGTTGCACGCGATTCTGTCCTCGACGTTCACGGGTACGGTGCTGAAAAAAATATGGCGCATGAGCCATAAGCGCCTTGATCTTCATGATTGCAGGGTACTCGCTCTAGGTGCCTGCACTCTCAGAAACCCACGCAGATTCGCCTCGAGTCTGGCACTCACTCACAATGTACAACATTTCGAGGTTCCTGTTTCGGTTCCCAAGAAGGCACGCGCGGATAAGGCACTAGCTGATGGGCTTAGGTAGATGAATAAAACTGTAATGGGGGTACACATTTGATTTCCGTATACTGATGCAGTGCCCTTGTCCTAAGTGATCACAGATGAATGCAGGAAATCTGTCTCTATGGTGTTCGTAAACCGGGGTATCTATGATGCGGCCTAATTACTTGATTCATGGGATGCTGAAGCGTACGCGTCGTCCAGATGCCGGCTTGATTCGTGTCCCTCGTGCTGGCCACGTTCCCACCTGCCACTGCTCGACGTACTCCCACTTAGAAGGCCACAGCATGAGCCAAGGCGGCGAAGCCATCACCGAATCCTCCAACACGGCCCTCGCCATCATCATCGCCGAACGCTCCGCCTTCGCCCTGGTTACCGCCCTCGCCGCCCTGAGCCCACCGCGATTCCTCCGCTTCAGTTGTTGCGCCACGAGGTACCCATACTCCGCGTCTTCGGGACGCAGGCTGAGTAAGGCTTTACCTCTCATGTATAGGCGCGAGATGAAGAGCGGGCCGGTTTTGGGGGCGGGTTTGTTGGAGAAGAAGCGGCCGCAGTGGATGCAGCGGTTTGTGCAGGAGATGAGGTATCTTAGGCCGCAGTGGGTGCGCCAGCGCCATCTTGGGAGGGGGTTGGGGCGGAAGGGGACCGGTGGTGTTGGTGGTGTTGTTGTTGGTGTTGGCGTTGATGGTTCCGGTGGGGACGAGGGTGATGAGGGGGACGAGGTTGACGAGGGCCCGGACAATGTGGATGACGATGATGGAGATGGAGACGTTGTGGCGATTTGCACAGCGATCTCGTCTGGCTCGGCTGGCGGTGGTGGTAGTGGTGAATCCGGGGGAGTTATCAATGATGGTCCACGATGGCTGGATTCGTTCACTTGGAGATGGTCGGCCATTCTACGCCTCCTTGCCCCTTCGCCTCCTCGGGAACGTCTGGCGATGGTTCGACCTCGTTGCTTGTCCAAATTCGGCTATGTGCAAACCCTATAGCAAAATTGATCTAGATTTGGTAGAATGTGAGTGAGTGTATGTGTAGCTTGGTAGGTGGTATCTGGGGCTCTTACGAGTACGAGCGGGAGAATGAGCCACATCGTGAACGATATCTCGTTGGTATGGTAGGAACACAACGGATCTAAACAGCTAACCGTCCCCCGTTTTCATAATCATTTTGACCCTTTTTAAGAACGAGTCTTCAGAATCCGGCTGGTCCTTCCTGCCCGTATCATTTACCCACCATTTGGTCAGGCACATCATAACCCCTGTTTCACAAGACAAAGAATCATGTTTACCGCCCGCTCACCCACCTCCCGAGGTGTCATGAGATGTCGTGAAACAGAACATGAACTGTAGCTTGCTTTGTAAGAAGAGGACTTTGAGCTAGAACCCCCCCAACTCATACGGTTTGTAACGAATTAGCGGTAGAACTGAACAACCAGACCACAAAAGAAAGCGTTCGAGTCCTGTTCGTAACGTTGAACGCCAGTAGTCAGGTAGCAACGCGTCTTGTGTCGTCCTCACAGTAAGCGCCATGGCATGAGACTCGGTATCAATTCAAACGCAGTATATTTGACAAGGCGCAAAATAGCATAGCTGCCTAGTGTGTGCGGCTCTCTCTCGGTACATCATCATCCTCTCTTCATCGTAATTATCTTTGTGTCCCATGACACATTACACGCAAATAGTTTGGCCAGTCCTTGCATCTGCCATCTCATCTCTCTCTCGTGTGCTGTTCTCTGCTGGAAAAAAAATATCGACATTAGATCGTTCACTGATCTCTCGTCCTGTCATCCTGCCTCAGATGCTCGCAAATGCATGTAAATCCAACAAAAATAAGACGAATAAAAAAACACGGAAACTCTAGCAGGTCCAAGACCAGGAAATACGACCAATTGGCCCCCAATGCAGCCTCAACGCCAATGTCCCCGTCAAAGTCGTCCCGAAAGATCACCCATGATGGAACAGGAGTGTTCGTTCTGTGGGCGACTCTCTGCAAGTTGACACAGAGAGCACTTTGCAGGATTGAGGGCCGGGGGGACATGAATACTAAACAACACGAAAAAAAAAAGAACCATCAGGAAATGCAGGCGCATAAAGACGCCCAGAATCAAATCAAACTTTTTTTTTTTCGTCGGTGAGCCCAATCAAGAGCTGGCATTGTTTTCTGAAGCCGACAAACTACCAATCTTGGCCGTCAAAAGAGAGTCCGAGGGCAACATCAGTCTTGGGTCGTGTCTTGATCAAAACTTGCCGAACCGTGGTAATTAGGTGGGTATAGTCATGGTCGCCGAAGGGCATGGTCTCGTCATCCAAAAAGAAGCGGCTTTTGTCGAGCATGCTGGTACAGCTATCTAGACATAAAAAGGTCGTAACAGCGTATTCATCGTCAAGGGTGGTTCATATGCTCCCGCGCGCCATGAAAGGAGGTATGGCGGGGAAACAGGAGGGTATAGGGGACCGCCCATGGGCCTTTTTTTGCCATGTCGAAATGGTTGCCCATATCAGGTATTTTCTTGTATCCAAGTTTCTTTTCCGTTCATCCTTCTCTGGTCGTTGAAACAGCCATGAGCCAAGGTTTCCTTGCCGGGCGGGTGCCGTGAATCCAAAATGGGATGCCGCCGCGACGCTGGGAAATCTTCTATCCACCAATTCCGAGACGGCCGAGCGAAAGATCATGACGCTGCCAAAGGCTCGTGTCCAACAAATCATCATTATAAGCAATATGGGTGTGGTTGTGGGGGAGAGTGTCCATCATGAAAAGCAATGGTAGGTATAACACAAGGGGGGTTTGTCGATTACCGAGCTGCGGTGAGCTGCGGTGAACTCGTCGAATGTCGTTTGTAGTCTCTATGCGTCGCGAGTCATGAATCGTTTCCTCATTGTAATGGTTGTCGTGGCAGTCTCGGCGAGGTAAATTATGGTTCTTGTCTAGTGGAATCGAGATGCGCCGGCGCTTCCAGCACGGGGTGCGTTGTCGGAAGAGTCTGCCACGGGATTAGTTTATTGGACTCACTATCCCAGTCTGAGCAGACGAAAGAAAAAACTTACCGCTTCCACGTTGCATGTGGCCGTTGGAGCGGTTGCGACCGCTGAAGCCGGCAGAAGTCTCCCACTCGGGGCCTCTGGGCTGCCTCTCGGGTGCGTTGCGGTTGCCGCTGTTGGCACCAGGGCGCTGGCTTCCAATGGCGCCAGGGGTGCTTCGGGCCTGAGAATGGGCGGCTGACTCGTAGGAGCCAAGGTTGAGTCCACCAAGCGAGCTGAGAAGGCTGCTGTCGGTACCAGGAGTGCCGATCGTCCCGGAAGTAGGTGTCAGGTTGGGAGTGGCAAGCGCGGCGGACTGGTTGACACCTCCATTGTAATCGCCGAAGCGGGCCCCCGAGTTGCCAGACTGGGGAATGTTCCCGATGCCGTTCATGGCCGTCAAGTAGCTCGAAGAGGACGCAGACGGGCTAGGGCTGAAGGATCGCAGATCGGCGAAGCTCTTGGCGGCGCGGAGGTTGGCAAGGCCATTTCCATCAGGGCTTCCAGGAAGCTCAAGGGTCGGACCTTGGCGGCCCATGGCATGGGAGTAGTTGGTGCTAGCGCTCCGGGCCTCTCTATCAGCGGCGAAGTCGAAGGTGGCTGCCCTGCTGAGGCCCTTCTTGTGGTAGTCCAAGCCGACAGCGGGAGAGTGGATCTGGGCTGTGGGTGAAGGAAGCTGGCGCTTGACAACGTGAATCTGGCGCGACTCGGCCTCTCCCACAGAGTTATGCTCGAGGCCCATGTGATGGGCGAGGATGTGGATGCGACGGCGCTGCTCGGGGGCGACGGAGTTGGGGAAGATGAGGATTTCACGGTTGGTATCACGCTTGAAAAGAGTAAGCTCGGTGTAGAACTCCAGAGTCTCGGGATCGTTGAGATCAATATCTCCATCTACACACGGTCAGTCAGCAGGTGTTCAAGTCCATCTCGTGGCTTCGTCGCAACGTACCGAGGGGAGCGCGGGGAGGGTTGCTGGAGACGCTGTTCAGGGTCTGGAGGGATGGCTGCTGGTGTAGCATCGGGGCGCGGTGCTGTTCTTCGAGTTGACCACGTCGTTCCCTCTTCTCGCGCTCGATACGCTCTCTCTCGGCCTCTGGCAGCATCTTCTTGTACTCGACCCTCAACTTTCGGCCGTGGACCTCCATTCCGTTCATGGCATCAATGACAATCTTGGTGTCTTCGGGGGACTGGAAGTTGGCAAAAGCCAAGCCACGGAAAACGCCATTGTCGAAGTGGTAGTTGAAGGCGTATGGCTGGGGGAGGTGCATTTCCAACATGACGGCGGCAAGCGTCTCCTTTCGCACGGCAAAGGGAATGTTCTTGATGACAATGGCGGTAGGGATCAGCTGCTCTTCCGTCTGCGAGCTGGGACGCATATCACCCTGTCCGTCATAGCGGAGGCCGTTGGACATTCCACCGTTGAGGCCGGAGCCATATGAGCCATGCATGCCGAGTCCTTGATCGGTCCAGTTCTAAGGGGCGGTCAGATCACGACTACGTTATAGAGAGCGAAAGGATGAGGGAAAGGGGGGGGGGGGGGGGGACCTCACACGGGGGGGGGGGGGAAACAGTGCACGACGGGGTCCGGTTTGGTGGGGGTGGGTGTGCAGGGGGGGGCCAGGAACCAACGGGTCGAGAGAGGAGGAGGGGGAGGGGGGGGGGGGGGGGGGGGGGGGGAACTCACAGTGGGGAGAGCGGCTCGGCGATTGACGCTCCTCTGTCTATTGGCGCCGTTCATGGCACCGTTGACGGTCGCGACACCACCAGCATTGTAGTTCCAGGCCTGGCTGTTGTCCAGCATATATCCACCGGGCATTCCATTCGCAGACATTTGATCCATGGCTCTAGGATTGTAGCCAAGACGGTCGGAAGGAAATAGGGCAGAGGAGCCCAAGCCGTTATCGAAAGGTCGCTGGGCCTGACGAGGGAGGGACAGACCAGATTGGAAGCCGCCCGCATACTGCCTCGAGGAGCTCGGGGAGCGATTCGGGGGGGCTGAGTAGTCGAGATACATGTCGTGTTGTTGCTGGCTCATTGTCTTTTTTTCGTGATATTTTTTCGAGGTGTAGACCCGTTGACGGCAGGTACTGGATTTGATGACCAGTAACCCGTGTGATGTGCCGACGGGGAGCGGGAGGGAGGAGGAGGAGGAGGAAAAGGCGGGAGGCAGTAATGCGGATGTGTGAGGGAGATGCAGGTTGGGTTGGCAAGGGGGGCAGTTGGTAGATGCAGCAAAAAAAGCCCTCGACAAAACCGACCGACTGACGTGTGTGGACAACGCGAGCGAGGACAGGGACCTGGCGACCTCAGGAAATGGCGGGCGATGCGGAGCAAGCAAACAGTCAGTGTGCCTTTCGCCAAAGCCAAAGTGACAGCAACCTAAGACGCAAAAGCGGCGTCGGGGACGGAGGCGACGGCAGCAACCTTGATTGCGATGTAGCGTACGAAGCGATGCAGTCAGTGTGTGTGTGTGCAAGGTTGCAGTTCACCAAACACGCAGCATGCAACAGAAAAGTCGCAAGGAATTTCTCTCGTGTGTGGATGTGACGGCCGTTCGCTCGTTCGGATCGGTCGTCGTTAATAGTCGTGCAGAGACCCCCTCCGAAAATGGGTCTTTGAAAAAAACAGGTTGGGAGGAGGGAAATGCGAGCAGCCGAGAGAGAGAGAAGAGGAAGAAAAAAAAAAAGTCGCACGCTGTGACCAGTACAGAAAAAATGCCGTGGCGGATGTTATGTAGGGGCGTGGGCGTGGGGGAGGAGGGCGAGTGGTCCCAGTCAATGGTAACTTGGTAAAGTACCTCTCTCCGTTCGAAGTACCTAATGGAAGGTATGGCAAAGGTATGTGGCGGGCTCCTTGCGGGATGGGCGCAAGCGGGCTGGTGCTTTTGCTTTTTTGGCTTTTCTTTGGCCGGGATCTTCTTCTTCTTCTTCGTCTTCGTCTTCTGCCTCTCAACTTCTCTATTGTTTTGCTTGGCTTGGCCCTTGGGGCTCGTTCGCTCGTTTCTCCGCCGAAGACGCCAAGGTCACCCAGTTAGGTACCGGATACACACACACACAGTTCCAGTTGCAGTCGCAGTCGCAGACGCAGACGCGGGTTGCAGACGCTTGACACGCGATCGCTTGGGGATTGGTGTATGTGTGTGTGTGTGTGTGTGTGTGTGTTGCGCCTTGATTCAAGGTGAAGTACTTTTGGACAAGGTAGGGCAAGGCGCAAAGGGGGTGGTGGGTGTGTTTGTATTCCTTGCTTGATGGTGCGCGTACCTCGATTAAGTGCTAAGGTATGCGGGAGAAGGGAGGTAAACAAGCCCAAGTAATAAGTTAGGGACGGATAGGAGAGGATAAGATAAAGAGGAGGGATAGCGGATGGCGAGGTGACCGACGCTAGGTACTACTTTTTTCGCCTGGTGTTGAGGCTCAAAATAAGGTCAAAGGTCGAAAGAGGAGGACGATGATGAACTGTGAGGGAGGGGGTGAAGGGGAGGTTAAGAGGTTGCGAGGAGATTCGAGCGACGAGGGAAAATTTGATGCTGCTGCAGCATGAAAGGAAAAAAAGAAGAAGAAGCTGAAGTGAGGAGGCTAAAAAGGGGAGCTTCTCTCTCTTTTTTTTTTCTGGTCCCCTCTCCCCTTCCTTTGGATTTGCAGTTTCTCTCTCTCTCCCGTCACAGTTCACTTTCAACCCCCGTTATTGTCGACGATGGGCCCCCAGTGACCGCAGCTGATGAAATGGGCCCCCACCGAACGGACGGGGACTAGCCAGCGGGGATCCAGAGAAGACTTGATGAAAGTTGAGCTCAGGACTCAGACCCCAGGGCTGTGGGAAAAGAAGAAGGGGTGTGGCAACGACCCGAACGGCAGAAGGCAAAAGGAAGACAGGCTTCAGCCCTTGACAAGGGGTCGGGGAGGGACCAGTGGACCACAACGGCAAGGAGAATGACTGACAGGGCAGAAAGAGACGGTGGAGGGAACAATTGGAAAATAAGAGGAACCCATTCTGCGGTCTGTACCACACTATCCCGTACTTTACGGATACCTTTCTTTACCAGTGGAAGAGTCTAGGTTTCCAGGACCAGGAGTCAGGGACCCAGCACCCAAGACCGACAGGGCAGGCCTACGCAGTACACAGTAGGCTCAAGACAAGGATCGGGGCGACGACCCAGGGCGACCGACGATGATGAGGAGAGTCGTGTCTATTCTACAAGTATTGCTTGTGTTTGTGATTGTGTTTGTGCTTGAGCCTTAAGCCTTCCTCTCTCCAAGGTAGAGAAAGCCATGTTAACAAAGAAAATGCACTCGTTGCGAAGCTGCATCAATAACTTCAGGGCAACATAACTTCTCTCTAGTACAGGCAAGTTTGCTCGAGGTACCTGACGTTGCTGAACATGAACAGACCTCAGATCTGACACTGACAGCGCCGCTAAAAGCCCGTCCATCTGGCAGCAGGGACTGACATTCCCGAGGTCAGTGTGTCTTTTCTTCTTCGCCTTAGTGCCAGCCACTAGAACCTGTCGCTGTAAAGTATCGCGTGGTACGTGAACAAGGTACCTACGGATAGATAGACAGACTGAGAGAGAGAGAGAGAGGGCGGACGAAAGCCTTCACCGTTTCGCTGGACTGGATGCCCCGGTCCCCCTTTGGTTCGGCAAGGTTCCTGTGCCCAAGGTTTTTCTCTGTATCCGTACGCTGTACGATATGGCGAATCTCGGAACCTCCAAACCTCTTCGCCCTCACCTGGGCCCGCTGTATGAGCAATTGGGGGTCCATGACCTCTGGGGTCCAGTCGGCTCGCTCAGAGCAACGTGCGGGAACAAACCCGCTATCGCCCTTCTAACTAGTCAATCAGTCAGCCAGAAGTCTCCGTAACTCACCAACTGACTTACTGTCCGTACTACTCATGTACATAGGAAAATACTAGTGTCCCGCTGGTCAGGGTCTCTTGTTGTTGTTGTTGCTTTCATGGCCGGCTCACACTGTAGGCTTGGTCAGCTTTGGTGCAATGGTGTTGGCGGTGTTCCGTCTCAATCTATCCTGTCCTATTCTCTCCGTGTCCATCGTGTCTGGCGGGGAGACCGTTGACCGACCCATCATTTGCTTCTTGTTGACGGGGCATACGCATACACAGTAGTCCAGAGTACGTTGAAAATTGGTCCCAAGCTCGGCAAGGTTTGGTCATCTCGCAACGTCCGAGGCTCAAGAGCCTTTCTTCCCTTTGATTCTGCTGATGTACCTCTCGGCCTTGTGTCGAGAGAGTGTTGTTGATGCGAGAAGGAGCTGCGTGTTGACACTGGCACTGACTCTGGTACCCACGGCTATGACAATGTCTGACCCTTTGACCCCCCAGCCTCAGGGCCCGATGCGCACATGGCTTGTGCCGTTGTAACTACCCGTTGTTGCCCTGTGCAAGTCACAGGCGCAGGCGGCAGACGGGAAGGAGACGGAGGGCCCAGGCATTACCGCGGAGCCAGGTACCCCTGACAAACTGAGCGCGGCGCGATGCGGTGTGGTGTGCGTGGTGAGGTGGGTATTTCAGGGTAATTGTTGTGGTGGGCATACGTAGTATGCGGCGTGCCATGGGGAGAGGAGAGAAAGGACGGCTCGTCTCGTCTTGCTCCGAGTCTCCGACTTCTCGCGTACGTTGACCAGAGGAGTGCTTCTCAGATGGCCGCAAAACGCAGTACATGGAAATATGTCTTCGTATGGCATGGCCGAGCCTGCGTACTCTCTGCTAAAAGGAAGTCGTCAATTGGAGCAAAAGGTACACGCAGTACCTGTACGCTAAAGTGCCATGTCAGACCCATGCTTGTACGGAGTACTCGTGCCCATAACCCTGGGTCCTGGGTTGCCAATGAGCAAGGACCTGTCTCCAGAACAGTCAGAACTGTACAAGTAAGGCAAGGTATGACTCCAGGCTCGGTAGGGGTAAAAGTACCCTGATCGATGAGGCAGGGAACCGTAACTGTACGAATACCTAGGCCAAGGATCCAGGCACCTCACCTCGATAGATGTACAGCCAATTATCCGCATTCGACAAAGGCTGGGTCCAGCTCTCCAGACTTTCCTCCTTCCTTTTTCTTCCGTCGTCCTCGCGATCACGAGCTGGACGGACAGGTCGTCATCTCTGGAAAGCAGTCGGCGCCGACAGTGTCTGCCGAGATGGATTGTGGCAGCTGGACAAGTCCACAGCGGGACCGAGGATCCTCGACGGACATTGAAGCTTCACGTTTCGCAGGGGCGGTGTCTTTGTAGACTATTTGCTATTCGTACGGATACCTTACTACTGCGTACGTATAGTAGATACCGAATAGCGATGAACTGGGCCTCGATGTAAGATATGGATGAGAAAAGGGGCAAGAGGAAGAAAAGCGGCGCGACCGCCGTTGTCGCCGGTGTCGCTTCAGAAAATGCAATCAGCCTGCGGTGAGTGGCCCATGGCCCGTGGTTTTTATGCTTTGTGCGTATTGCGCGGTGGTGGTGGATAATGAATTGAATAGTCTATGAAGCGACGTTTCCTCTGCAGAAATGTGAAAGGTAAGGGAAATGGTGTCAGAAGGTTGAAGGCCGAATGCCTTGCTAAGGTGTATTCTGCCTGGGAAAGAATACCAGAAAAAGGGAAGGTAGTGTCAAGTTTGGCATTGCCTGCCGCATAACTTCCCTATTACCTTAGTATCATGAACTCGAGAATGGGAAGTCACGATTGCGCCATGGCATAGGTACGTAGTAGAGAGTACTCCGTAAGGTACCTTAGGTACCTACGGCAGGAGAGAAATGGACGATGCCTTGTATGCTTTCCCCTGCTTTCAGTGTCTATGCCTCAACCTGGAAGGTACACCCAAATGCCCAAGATGCCTTATTGCGTCTGGTTCAAGGTATGTTCCCTTTTCGGAGACGGGGCAGGGAGCAACTGGGAGGTTTGCACTCGAGGAGCACTTGCCTTTTGACTCGCAGGCACGTTGCACGTTGCATCTCGTCGCGCTGTTGGGCCACAGACGGTTTGCGGTCTGTGGTGAGTGAGGTAAGGGCTGCGGCCTGCCCGTGGTCCGTGGTCTGTGGTCGGACGCGTTTGGGAGGGAGGGGCGGGAAGGTGGCACGGGGACTACGGCTACTGCCAGAGCGGTGGAGGGAAGGAAGGGGCCCAGCCTGTGGGATAAGCCAGATGGGCAGGAACTTGTCACGCTTACCTTAGGTTGTGTAGGAAGGCGCTAGCACAGTGTCAGCTGTAATGGCGGCGTCTATCACTGGCTGCGATGCCAAAAGGAAGGAAGCCCGCCCCGTCGTTCCTGACCTGCCGTTGCCTCACACCGGTCCAATATATATTGAGTGGTCTTTCCGTCACCGTCCCGTGCGTTGCTGGGAAACACGCACCAAATCCACAAATTATCCCTCGACATCTGCATCCACGTTGTGCATCCATGACAAGTACACAGTGCGATACTACTAACCGAAAGTGTCAAATAGTAAGGTGCAGTGCACACTCAAGTAGGGTGTTTCTGCGTAATCATCTCCAACGGTATGTAGAACGGGCGGGAAGGGTTCTCCAAGGAACGCCGTTGACCACACATTCAAACACAAAACGATGGTTTCTCTTCCAGAACGCGATGCTGTCGTGTCATTGTGAGCATCAGACGAACCCACAGCGGCGTAGTTCGCGTCCAAGGTACGGAGTACCTACCTTACCTACCTTACCTACCTTAGGGTATTCCCTTGACGTGTCATCGAGTAGGTTTCAACACAAAGGTTGATCTGCTTTTGCCTCGAACATAAGGTACCGTATCAACTTGAAAGCTTTTGTTATCTTGTTCCCGACGGGCTTTAAGTGCCCGACTCTGGTGCATCCCGGATGTAGGCAGAGTTTCCTGTTGCCACCACCTAGCAGGGTCAGGAAGATGCGATAAACTGTGGTGAGTGTCGGCACTGAGGTGGGTTTCGACTGGAGGGAGGTTTTGGACCTTGACTGATACACCACCTCAGTGAATATCGAACGCCGTGCGGATAGATGCCTTGTCTTCGGCTTACCCGCACTGTACAGCTAACCAATCACAAGATTCTCATCTGCCAGAGTGGAAAGCCATGATTGTCTGTGCCTGCAGCACCAGAGTTGTGTTGTGCAGGAATGGAGGAGACACGCCGCACGCCGCACGCCGCACGCCGCACGACACTTGCCATACACAGCAATTGTAGCCAATGGCAGCCAATGACAACCGAGGAAATGCCGATGGCACTCAGTCCCGTGTCTCCACAGTCCTCGAGTCCACGCCCGCATCTTTCATCAAAGTATTCCAATCCATTTCCACCAGCAGCGAACGAGACATGCAGATCCATACAGAGTACAAAGTACTGTGCACGTACTCCAGGGAGACTGTGCACTTGGACCTTCCCACCTCACCTTCCCTGGCACGCACTTGCTGCGGAAGGACTAAGAAGCACCTACCTTGGCAAGACTTGAGAACCTCAAAGGAATGCATACCATACCACAGTGCCTACCTAAGGTGTCCGTACCAAGGTAAGTTTCGAGTTCCAAGACCAACGTCGAGATATCTCTTCCAGTACCCAAACTTTGGGCACGCGTCCCTGCGAAATCAACCAACTACGACCCGACCCAATACCTTAGACCGCCACTTTCTTGCCTATCTGCCTACGTTGGCAGTGTACAACGACTTGGGCTCTATCGACCTCCCGAGACTTCCAGCCAGCCACGGTGTGTATTCGCAATAGCATCAACCTATGAGAGAGTGCCTCCTGAGTCGTGGACAAGGCACTTGCAGCACAACATGCGTGCCGCCCCCATTCCTCCGCATCATATCGAGATACGAAATCACTGCACAACAAGCGCGACAAGGAATACAAGCATAGGAACCTACCGCTGAGACAGCACCGACATGGGCAATTCGCAGCCCCAGGCCTCCCCGGGAAGCATTTCAATCCTCGCAAACCTGGGGCAGTCGCACTCACTCTCACTCAATCAACACCTTCTCCTCGAGTCTCCTCCGTTTCCTTCAGCTCTACGACACAGCGTCTGCAGCGTCAGACACCGCGCGACGTCTTTCCTCAAAGGTATTGGTACCCCTGTCTCAGAAGCTCCAATTGTCGACCTCGACCCTCCTCCTTTGTCGCCCCTTGTGAAGGAATCTTGCATCGTCTCGCATTCCTGATGAAGTTATTATAAAGACTTCCTAAATACAAGGACACCGACAGCACAAAGACTCCGCATCTCTCGCGCCGTTCCGTTTCACCAAAAGTAAAGGCCCTTCGGCACACCCGCCATGACGGGTCGATTCTGTGCCTGTCGCATCCATCCATTGACGATCCAGCACCTCGGACGTGGGACCCAATTCGCGTGGCACATTGTCCAGGGTCTTTGTCCTCCATCGCCATCCACGGCCGCCTCGCTCCCATGATTTCCCGTCCACCAAAGAGGTATCCGTTTGTACAGACTACGGAGTACGGAGAACGAATACAGGAACGCTACCTTGGCAATTTGCAGCGGACGAGGCCGAGTGGTCCCTAAAACGTCCCCCGCAGACCATGTCTCTCCCCATTTGGTTTCTACGTGTATCATTGCATATCCCGACACCCAAGATTCTCAAAAAGAATCCAAGGTAACGCAAGATCCGGGAGCGTTTTGCGACACCAGGACATGCGTTATACGTTAGGTACATGCAGTTGCCTCGCCAGCTACCTAGGACGAATCCATCACTTTGGCATTCAATGCGCTGAGAGGCTGGCTGCTGCAATGCCACCTCGAAAAGCAAAGCTGAACAGGCAAAGGAAACGACGATACGAATTGTTCGTCCGCGCTCCTGCCCGTGCCACTCGAATCCTCATCGACAATACCTTAGCCCAACACGCCTCGGCTCTCCTCGCACGCGAACCTGGCTCAACTGCCCTGACGTCTTCGGGCCGTCACGCTGGGCCCAGATCTACACGCCTAGTCCTCGCACCCTTCTTCAAGATGCCCCTAGTGATGGTCGACTCCAAGGCACAGAGAGCCGCCTGACGTCGCACCTCTGCAAATCGGTGAGGATCAATTCGAGACGGAGCGAGATCGACAAAAGGACTCAGGCCCGGAAGACGCTTCTTCTGCTCCACTGCTTCCAAAGTTCCGTACCAAGGATGACGGCCGCCAATTCCTTGGTAATAACCTAGGGTTCGTGAACCCCTATTTCAGCCCCTGGCTGTCGTCACGATGCTTGCAACACACAAACCGGTCAACATCGGCCACTTGTAGCCACACACGGGAGGCGGATACTCTATCCCCTATTTCGAATTGGCAAATGGGGCGGGCAAAGTCTAGCGGCCTAATTTCCATCTCCCCGCTTGAATCCAATAGCTCCGGATTCTCTGCAACCTTCTTAGGGTCGGCAGCAGTTCCTATGATAGCAAGCATTTATACAACGACTAGAGGTTGCAAGATATTCATCCTGGGGAGAATCACGATCTCACGATTAAGTCGGGCCTGAGCTTCGGACTATGAAGGAGATGGTAGCATTAGACACTAGGATGCATCGTCGCACAAAATCGCCCACGCGCTCTCACGCGCTGTCACACGGCACTCGCCTTGCATAAAATGTGCCGGACCCTGGCGTTCCACGCTCCGCATCCCCGTTCAACATCCCTGCCGTTCACGAGATGCGAGATGGGGGATGGAGCTTAATCTTACCCACCGACCGGTGCGCTGCGCCGCCACAGCGAATGTCCCCGGAGCGGCCCCGACTCGCCAGTTGGCCTTACAAGATCCTACGGGTCGGATACATGAATGATGATGATGGGCTCAGTCTGCCTTGCTTCTACTCTCGGAAACAACCACATGCGCACATAGTAAACGGTCGAGGCCAGATGTCATACTCCTGATGGCGGTACAAATACCAATTAGGTCATTCCGACCTTGCCGAGAGCTTTCTCCGGGAATACGGAGATACAACATTGGCTTTTAAAGACGTTGCATCAAGTCAACAACCCAAGAATATTGCAGGTCACCAGTTCGTCCAAATGCGTCAATCCTGCCCAGTCAGCGCTATCGATTGGCCGATCCGGAACACGATCCTACCACAATAGCTCCCTTGAGCCTGTCCAATGGTGGGTACGAGCAAGGCGATGGTGGCTTGCACAAGACCGGATTCTTCGAAGTCGCTCCCCGAAGGCTGCGCAAACTAACCAAGCCCTGTACGGATACAATGTATGATGGATGAAGAACTGCGAGACTACCAGCTTGTAGTAGAGTGGTCACATTATCACGCTCGACGCTCAACGCGATGATCTCAGAATCACTCCGTTTGCGCCGTTACAGCCATGAGCCAACTCACGACATTAGTAAATATCCCATGGATGGCATTCGCCTTGTGCCAACCAGCTTCTAGGATGGCTAGAGACCGAGGCTGCGTCGCGTTTCGAGGCATGCATCACGACTTCATTCGGCCAAGGCATGCAGGGCGCGTTGCATGGGCGCTGACATCCCTCCCAATTTTCTTGTCGAAGCAAAAGCCTTCCTACCGGTCAGTCAATATCCGTCAACCAGTACGTGAAAAGCCCGGCTTGTAAGACATTCCACAAGGGGCGCCTGGTTCCTAAACACCAATAACAAGCTTGGCTGCTCCGGCATATCGAAGTTACATTGCGCAGCTCACCGGAGAAGGCGTCTCATCGTTGTAGGCTCTCGGGCAAGTGCCTGTTCAATGTCTCGGTCAAGGTTCACAATTGTCGTTCAAGCCCAGCCATTGCCGCCAGCGGCCCAGCGCATCTGGTCTTTGAATCAGATAATAATTTACCATTCAGTGGTGTCCCCCATCTACGAGGTTCCCCAGCTCTCTGCTATCATCTCTCCGAACAGGGTTCCTAATAATAAGGTGGCAGTGCCATCTCTCATTTAACCAAACACAGTCAACCGTCACTGTACCACAAGTCACACCAGATGCGGCCTAGACCGTGTGCTGCAGTCTCTGCGCATGTGGAAGATATTGGAAATATCGCCCCGAAATCAAGACTGAAGGCGACACTACAGGATATATTGTCTACAGCATAACGTGCACCAACGATTATGCTTCAGTTGAGCCACCAGACGGAGCAGCCTCCCATCAATGTCTGTTCTTGATGTCGCGAGCCTGGAAATCTCTTAATGTTAGTTGCAGAAAACCCCTTGGGTTCTCGTCCAGACATGGAAAGAGATGACAATCCCAGCTACGTTGACCGTGGATCTTCTCGCGATAGCCATTCTCATACCACGTGATCAACGTGACACGCGGAAGAAGGCTACATATTCCGCTTATGCAAGGCGGGAAGCAAACATCACACAAATGGGGCCAAGCCGGGGCCCACGACCATGGTTCACTCGAGGGGCTGTGGTTAACCAGGTATCACCTTCGATGTACTCTGCACCATGCGTGGTACAGTCGCCGGCATACGCAGCACTCGACTTCCACGATCGTGTGTCGGCCGGATTCTTCACGGCGAAGTCATACGAAGTACTTCGCTTGCAAGCGACGTGAAACCAATCATTTCCCTACTGTTCAGCAAGATGATCCCAACTCCATGAAGAGGGTCCCCTATTTCCTCGAAAGGTCGATCGTTCACTTGGAACCCTTTGGTCAATCCCTAGATGATCCATCTTTCTTGCGAACCTGACGGTAAACGACGGCGACTCCCGTAATGGACAACTGCTTCCGAAGTCCAGTGGCCACCCAAAGCCGGGGAGATGGAACACCTTGTACCCCTTGCGGGACTCACGTCTGTGAACTTCACCTGTACGGATACGCTCACGCCTGCCCAACCGTCAGCGAGCATAATTCTATTTTGTACCGTTCCTACGCTTCCGGACAAGGCGACTCAATCGACCACATCACGGACAGTCTCGATACTAGAATGCGTTCTCACGTCTTGTAAGACACTAAGCCCTGATGCTATAAGGTGCTATAAGCCACGTCCGTCTGCCGCCACCATGTTTGGTGATACCTGTTCACAAATAGAACTTGAGGACCTGGACCGTTGGACGTATCCACCCTTGGATACGACCAGGGATCCAGCTCCATCAAAGGCATCGTCGGGACCTTCGAGAAATTCTACCGAGACCAACAGAAAGTCCTCTTGCCCGAGAGGCGAAAGACAAGCACCCCTGATGGGATCCAACGGCTTTAGGCTTCAAGTGGATTCATCTCAAAAAAAATCTTTACTCCTTCATCCGACCCCACTTGCACGCATGAGCGCTTCGAGAAGCCCGGCTCGCTCCCGCGAAATGAGATCGTTGCTGATGCAGTTGGAACCGCGAGGTCTGCGAGTTGAATGAGGAGGACAGGGGGTGTGGAAAGGGTGCAGTGGATGACGCGAGACCTGTGATGAGAGTTCCTCGGCCTCCAGCTATCAAGCAGGCGTCATTTGTCTTTGTGAAGAAGCTCCATCTTTTGGCCGGTCTCTTGCATGCTGGGAAAGTCTTACGAGGGCCCTCTGAAGCGCCAGCCGCAGCTTCATGCCCCGTACGCTCTGCTACACGCGGTACGTGAAGTCTGATGGTGCCGTGGTCCACAAGCGGAAACAACATTAAATCATCACATCACTCCGGAGGAATTAGATCTGAGATGATATTTGGTAGTTTCTTAGATGAGCGAGTATGCCATTGAGTCATGCTAAATGAGGCTTCCTGCAGCCTCGAAACCTTGACTGCTGCGGAGACCGCGCTGCGTCTACCGGATCAATAGGTTCTGTTTGGAGATTTCAGCGCTCGATGTTGGATCTGCGAACTTTGTGTTTCTTGATATATTCTACGCGGCATATTCTCGACCACTGACAATAGGTCACTGAGCGCCGAATAGGGGCTTCTTTACGCACAGTCACCACCGGCCAGTCTGTTGAAGTTATCTTGTGCATGATAGCGTGATCCGTAGCTATCGAGCCCGCGGTCAGACGAGCTTACCCAGAACCAGCTCGACTTTTCGAAGTGCAGAAACGGGTATATGTTTGTATTGGACGGTAACCGGCGCCTCTTGAGACTGAAAGGGAGCTCAGCATGATTTCCTACAGCTTGGTTCCGGATACTCCGGACGTCACAATCTCCGTCCTGGGCGTTGGCTTCGTCAGCACCTTAGTTGAACCCCCTTTTCTAATGTCTCAGGGGCAAAAATGGAAGAAGAATGGTGCACATCTTGCCGTTTAAGGAATAGGAAACTGTAAGAATTGAATGTATGTGAAGATATCCGCGGCCTGTCTAGGCTTGTTGGTAGATCTGGTACGCAAAGTATGGCTTTAGGTGAGACGTTTCTCTTTCCGCTTGATGATAGTCGGAGACGGACATGCGGTGGACTTCAAAATGATGAGGAAGATGTCTGGAGACTGGTAATGTTGGGATATAGTCGTGGGGCAGCTGCCAAGACGTTGGCACTTGTGTGTTTCGCGGGCTCGGAATCATGAGTAGAATGCTGCCTCGCTCTTCTAGGGATGAGAGACACTATTGCAGACGAAAGCCTTGCGAGGTGAGGATGAAAAGTACTGTTGATGTTGTGTAGAGACGTCACCACAAAACAACTTGCCTTGCGTCGTCCCTCTTGATTCTTGAATTGCGGCCACGTTTTCAAGGATGGTCTTGAGGGCGACTCTCCGTTAGACCGAAGGTATGAGTTTGATCATCTTCGCTGACTTCTCAATTTCTTTGGCCTGGTGTACATGGCTGTAACATCGACTACACAGCTCCATCTCGCGGGTTCCTTGCAGTAAGCTGTCTCCGACCTCCATGATATGATTTGCGAATACCGAGTCGTCACCCTGTAGTGGAACTGGTCGCCACCACTGCTCAAATCTAATTTTTGTTGGATGTTATCCTTCCCCTCTGGCTTCAACCGAACTCAACATATTAGCCAGCCTCGTTGGGTGTTTCGAATAGCTTTAAGATCCTCTCAATTTAGTTTCGGCTTCCAAGGGCTCGGACAGATAGAGCAGCTAAGACCGCATCACTTGTCTCCTTTCCAGTCTTCTAGGCCATACATGGATCGACTTCATGCGATGATCAATGTTCTTGACAGACAGCTTGGTGCCCCCCTCAGTCACATATGGTCCTGAGTATAATATACAAGCAGGCAGGCTTGCCTCTGGGGTCTTATCTAAGGAAGGACTTCATCGTGCGTTGGTTCCTTGCTCCATCAGATTAAGAGACACTTGGGTGGAAGACGTCCATCATATGTAGCGTGCACGGTGGAGTTGGCCCGTCGGAACGTCTATGTGCCTGGTTAGGCTCCATGGTAGTATTGCCACTATCAAGGCCATTATCGAGGAATAGGCTTCTCGCAACGTCTCTGGGCGGGTATTCGCCTGTGATACACCGCAGAAAGAGAATGAAGGGTTCGAGGCAGACTAAAAGCAGTAGCGTGTAGTAGCCGAACGATAGAAGCCATGCACTCGGCTCATCAACAGATAATCGCCAGAGATACATGAGGATATCCATCTTGTGAGGGCGTTCACGTGTGCCATTGAATCCAACTACACTCGATGGAGTCACACTTGGTTTTGAAGAGCCAGAAGACAAATATCTGAATAATTGAGTTCCTCCTCGTTGAATGACTCTATTGGCGATGGACAATCTTCTCCATTGGCGTGCGTCCGTAAGTCGGCTGGGCTACGGCAGTAGAAGGGGACCAGTCATTCTGGGGCTAGGCGGAAGGCGTTATTCTACTACCAATTCGATGATCTATGAGTGAAGACCGAGGATGTATTCATGATGCTATTTTTGAACGTATACCAGTCAGATACATTCAGAAACGGAGGTCCTGTATGGCCTCGTCATTGCAGTAGCATTTGAATTTGGATTTGGCTAACGTGACGATCTAGACAATGCCGGAATTTATAAAACCTCGGGCTGAGAAGCAATAGCCAAGAATCAGTCTGCGGAATGAAGGGCGGCTGCTACGACAGCTTCAGGGCAAGTCAAGCTCAATCCTTGGCCGGATGGTACTCATGTCCACGTACTTGAGAATACTAGGTCTTCGCGCAAACCGAAGCTACATCGTTTTAAAGATAAGGGTCATACGAAAAAGACAGATATAGCAAGGCACGAGGCAAACGATAGACAACTTCAACGGGGAACGTGTAGTTGGATGTTAAACCTTTCTCATTGGCGAGGGGTATCTTGGTTCATCGATCTAAGTCAAAGCTAAATCCCGCTCCCTGACTCCAAGTGGCTGACCATGCAAGAGAGACCATCAAACAGTCTCGGCAACTTTTCCATTACATCACACCGAACCCTTTCATAATCTCAGAGACTATCTCCGTCTGCTACGCGTGGTGGCCGGCGCCGGCTCGAACGCATCCTCGTCCGAAATCTCATCATCGCTGATCTCGACAGCGGCTTGAGAGGCGGTAGCCTGCGAGAAGTTGAGCTTAGTCTGCCGGGTAGTCTTCGGAGCCGCACGTGCAGGCTGAGATCGCTTGCCCCGAGTAGTCGGTGGCGGCGGTGGCGGCTCTTCAAAGTCGTCGTCCATCACCACGTCCTCTTCCTCGGATTCTTCCTCAAAGACGGGCTTCTTGCGACCTCGCGCGGGCGGCTTCTTGGCTGGAGCTTTCTTGGCTGGGGCTTTCTTGGCTGGGGCAGCTTTCGTAGCTCGAGTGGCTGTTGCTTTCTTTGCAGGTGCTTGACGGGCGGGGGGTTCGTCCTCGTCCATCAGGTCATCCTCATCATCCTGGGTAGCAGTCCTTCGTGACTTGGCTGTAGGCTGAGCGACAGCCTCGGTCTCAACCACTCCAGGCTGATCCTCCCAGTGCCCATCAAGGTCGGAGTCCCACTCGTCTGGCTTCGGTTTGACAGTACGCCTGGAAGTCTTCTTCAGGGCTCCCTTGGAGAAAGCCTCTTCAAGCTTCGCCCGATACGCCTCCATTGCAATATCCAAGTCATCCTCATCGGAGTCAAGGTTAAGCATTTGCTTCACCTGGCCGGCCAAAGATTCGCTAACGAACTCCTCCATCGCGTGCTTGTCGTCCTTGTTGACGAACTGGTTGACGGCATCGCCGAAGGGTGCCGTTGGCAGGATCTTCAGAGACTGGGCTGCGAGGAACTCCTGTACGAGGGCCTCCACTTTGATAGTGTCTAGACCTAGTGTTTCTTCGAGAGCCTCGGGAATGTCCGTGTCATTAGTTCGTCCTGAGTTGCATTAGCCTCAGTGAACCACATTGCGGGTAACAGAATAGCTTACTTGTGGCACCAGCCTTCTTGCGGTGGAAGTACACGACATCATTGGTGTTTGCCACCTTGCCGATGAACCTATTTGAAAATCGCTGGGGATTCTCGCAGTCGTACTGACCACCCTCCGGAGCTGTATACTCCACTTTGAGGCGAATCAAGGGCAGTGGAGGTTCCTCGTCGTCGTTCTCCTGGACAGCGAACCACTCCTCATTCGCCTCTTGAATCATCTCGTCTACAACTACCATCAGTCTCTTGGTTAACTCCTGCCTGTTTTCCTTCTTCGTGTGCAGCCCCTTAAACCGCGCATCGGTCGATAATTGGATCTCTTTCGTAATGAATGGGCGTACGGTCTTCAATGGTAATTTCTCAACCTTGAACTCTCTGCCTGTGACGTTCAAAATCGCCACGTGCTTTGGCACCGCCTCACCAGGGACCAGAGATGTCGCTACCGAGGAGCCGGGTTGCATGACGTGGAAGCCGGTCTCCGGGTTCTGCTGAGGGTCAATCAAGCACTCGTGCTCATGGCCCCAGACTACAAGATCCATCCAGTCGGGTAGCACATTTTCGGGAAGATAGGATGTTGCAGTATGTGCATGGTGGTTCTGATGTACAGTGAGCAGGTTGAACCAGTCTGACTGCTGGACACCTGGGCGGAACCACTTGACCTTGTGGTCCCTGAATGTTCGGAACATGCGCTCATCACGAACATTGCTCAAGCCGAATAGCGCAAGCTTGGTCTGACCCTTTTGTAGTAATACCGGCTTGGCTTCAATGTTGTCGGCCTCGGCAATGCGACCAAAGTAGTTGACCAGCCCAGCAACCTGGAGCAGGTCCAGGGAACAGAAGTGGCCCTCGCCGCTGGGATCATCGTGGTTGCCGTGGATCGAAAAGACGGGTATGGAGATGTTGATGTCGGGGTCTTCGTAGTTGACGTGAGGGAAGGCACCCTCAAAGACTTCGTTTGCATCGCTTAGGAACTCGAGCTCGCAGGGCTTCATGCCTAAGCAGTTCTTGCGAAGACTGCGCATGACCTGATACATGGACTTTCGGGAGGGCTTATTATCGTGAAAGAGGTCGCCGCCTAATAACACCATGTCGACCTGTGCTCCTTGTCAGCCGGCGAA